ACGTGCGCCGCGCTGCCCGGTCTCTCGTGAGAAAGATCTGGGCCGCCGGCCGCCGACCCGCTCGCGCACGGTGTGTGAAGCCCGCGGGTGTGAAGCCCGCAGCCCAGCCGGCCCCAGCAGCCAGCCCTGGCCCGGGGACCCGGGCTCCCGGAGCCGGCTCCGGCCCCGGCCCCGCCCGGCTCGAAGGTGGAGCCAGCCCCTCCGTGACCACGCCCCTCAGACGGTGAGGGCGGTGACATGCAGAATAGGGAGGAAGCCTCAGCCCGGGGGACGCCGGGATAACCGCGGACTGAACATTTCGAGTCAAAGGCGACCAAAGTAAATTCGACCGGGAGTGTGATCAGGTTTATTTCTGAATGGATGAGGCGGAGGAGCTAGAGAAGCGAGGTTGTGTTTGTGACCGCGAGTGCAATGTGTAGGAGCGGCGTAGGGAAGCGGTGAGGCGGGCTGACCGGGTATCGCTTCTCGGCCTTTTGGCTAAGATCAAGTGTAGTATCTGTTCTTATCAGTTTAATATCTGATACGTCCTCTATCCGAGGACAATATATTAAATGGATTTTTGGGCCTCGGAGATGGAATAGGAGCTTGCTCCGTCCACTCCACGCATCGACCCGGTATTGCAGTACTTCCGGGAACGGTGCATCCCTTCGGGGAACATTTGTGGTGTTTCAATAGCAGACTTGGCTGGGTAGGGCTTTAGTTTTGTTAGTTATCTGTTGTTCTTTCTCAGCTCACTGAAGCAGATATGTTTGCCTGCCTCGGTTACTCGGCTTGCATTTTCTCGCTTTGGTCTTCCAGCACTGTGTTTATTATGCTCAAGTCCGCGGGAGCTACTCCAGCTTTTTCGGTTAATGTTGCTCTTGTTTGTTTTGTTAATTCCCTATTTCCAGCAATCCTGCAGCAACGCTGGGTAGCGTCGGGGTGTTCCTGTCCATAAGGACCGGGGCCTTGTCCCTGAGCTTCTTTTGCTCAAGACTAGCGCTGTGCCACTTAAGGCTGAGATCTGGGGACTACAGTGTGTGTGTGTGTGTTTCCCTCTTTTTTCTTTTTGCGCTGAGGAATACCTACAGTTCTGACAGCCTTTTGCGAACCACTCTATCTGCGGTGGAATCAACCATTGCTGGCCTTCACATCCACCCACGTCCACACCATCTACTCTGCCCCTCAATGCTCACTCATGAGACTTCAAGGGACAGCTGCTGCCCACTGCCTTCTCTGGGAGGGGCCCAAATTCCAGCCTTACCCTATTGTCTAGGTCCCTTGTCAGCAGGAAGTAGCCAGAGTAGAATCCACACCCTATTTCATGATTATTAAAAGGCTGAAATGTAAGGTCTGCTCCTGGATGGCCAGCAGACTCCACCCTCCTCGCAGTAAAGTCTCTACCCAGTACCTGCGTTACCTAGGCAACTGGGACACCTGTAAGAGGTCACATCTGCATCCGCTAAGGTGAGGTCACATCTGAATTTGATGTGGCCACACCTTTCTCCGCCCAGGCCCAGACTCTCTGTGTTCTATTCTACCTCTCTCTGTTCTTGTCTAGCTCTTTCAAGCTCTTTTCTCTCTTTCCCAGCTCTTTTTCTCTTTCCTAGGCCTTTCCCAGCAAACCTTGCCTGGTCCCAGCAGGTCTACTGAGTAAACCTACCCCTTACTTGAATACCACTTTAAGCTTGTTGGTGCTGTTTTTAAAACTCGACTACCTCTTTTAAAAAACCTAACAGTGGTCAGGTGTAATTTCCAGCCAGGGGTCTTCCATGGTAAAGGAATAGATGGCGTGACCACAGCGGACTGGTAGGATGTGTCTTTTATTTTTAGTTTCATTCATAACGACCTCCTGAAGTAGAACTAGGGAAGCCTAGTCTCTACCCGGGGGGAAAGTCTGCTTTAAGCCACATAGACTGGGGGCACTTCATGTCGTTTACTTGCCACCACCGGGGGCACAGTGGCTGAGTTTAAGACACTTTCAACGTGTGAACTCAACAAGATTTGCAGAAAATACAAAAACAAGCGAGAAAGCGTAGAACGTTGCATGGTGAACACAAAGTACTGAAGAGTGGGAAAGGACGACCCCGCCGAAGTGAAGCAGCTGAGAGGCCACACTGTGTTGGAGACACCGCGCCCGAAAACCGATGAAAAAGGCAGGTAAAAAGAAAAAAACAAACAGCAAAATAGATCCTGCAAGTTCGGAGAGAAATACAGTGCTGGAAGACCAAAGCGAGAAAATGCAAGCCGAGTAACCGAGGCAGGCAAACATATCTGCTTCAGTGAGCTGAGAAAGAACAACAGATAACTAACAAAACTAAAGCCCTACCCAGCCAAGTCTGCTATTGAAACACCACAAATGTTCCCCGAAGGGATGCACCGTTCCCGGAAGTACTGCAATACCGGGCCGATGCGTGGAGTGGACGGAGCAAGCTCCTATTCCATCTCCGAGGCCCAAAAATCCATTTAATATATTGTCCTCGGATAGAGGACGTATCAGATATTAAACTGATAAGAACAGATACTACACTTGATCTTAGCCAAAAGGCCGAGAAGCGATACCCGGTCAGCCCGCCTCACCGCTTCCCTACGCCGCTCCTACACATTGCACTCGCGGTCACAAACACAACCTCGCTTCTCTAGCTCCTCCGCCTCATCCATTCAGAAATAAACCTGATCACACTCCCGGTCGAATTTACTTTGGTCGCCTTTGACTCGAAATGTTCAGTCCGCGGTTATCCCGGCGTCCCCCGGGCTGAGGCTTCCTCCCTATTCTGCATGTCACCGCCCTCACCGTCTGAGGGGCGTGGTCACGGAGGGGCTGGCTCCACCTTCGAGCCGGGCGGGGCCGGGGCCGGAGCCGGCTCCGGGAGCCCGGGTCCCCGGGCCAGGGCTGGCTGCTGGGGCCGGCTGGGCTGCGGGCTTCACACCCGCGGGCTTCACACACCG